GATACAGAATAATAGTTATAAACATTCAAAATTATTTCCTAAGTCTGGCTAGTCAGTTCTTTCCTTGTTTTGCGCTTTAGCACATACAGCCACCATTTTAAAAGTGACATTCACTATTAATAATGAAGGTGTGGTCTTTCCTGGAAATGGCAAAATGGAGGACAGGCTCAAGTGTTATGTGGCTACTAAATAAACTGATGGCAAGCAGCAACCATTTGATGTTTGGTATAATCTTGATTTTCCATGTGTCCTTCTTCTATTTTACTTCATACTATACCAACCAAGGTGCATCAGTGAAGTAAATGTGCTACAACAAAATCTTTAAGTTTGCAACTGTGCTGCCCGAGTTATTCAAGTTCTTTTTGTCCTGAAGTCAACCCGGACAGACTATTATTATTATAAGTTATAGTTTGTTGTTGAGTTCACTCTAAACATGCAAGACCCTGTACATGTATAGTCTATAGCTCAATGTCTAATGATTTATACATGTACAGTACATGTGTGCATCAAATTTTATTACTAAATACATGTGTAAGTTGATTAGTAGTTTATCTGTAGATGTGGTACATACCACACCTATTGACATGCCTATGTACATTGTATTACATTTGAATGTTATTACAAAAGCTAACGAACATTCAATTACTGTAACATTTGTTCCAACCCTAAAATAGGCACAGCTGCAATATTGCAGTTAAAGCGTAGTTGATGCATGTAGATATTAAATTTTAATGTAGTTTTTTAGCACTTTAGGCTTAGATACAGTGAGGTCTAATTTCCAATTAAGTATTTTACTTCGTGTAGGTTTGAATTTTTGTTAAATCCTACATTGACTTATGGCTGAGCAGCAAATACTAAGAAGATATTTCAGCCTCATAATTAAATATTAAAAAAAGAAAGCAAAGTACTAGTAAAGGGGAAACCAAACACCTTAATGTGTGCTTGACTGCATGTACAGTAAACTACATGTACATGTAATGCCATATTATCAGAAAATTTTCATTGTGACCTTTGTTGCTATTAAGTGATGGTGGAATTTACAATAATTGGATCTTATCCATCACATGCCACATCCAATAATAAATACATGTACAAATGTGCATGTATTATTTTATGCAAAAAACCAATTGGCAAATTTTTTAAAGATGCAGTAATTTTCAAATGGATTACAGATGTACAGTGCTTTACTTTCTGCTGCTATCATTTATTTTCATTGCTAGACTTCCTCTCCTATTGATATTGTTTTAATGAGATACATGTACAGAATTGTAGGAAGGTGTGTGTCCACATTGTTGATGAAGTACATGTAAATCTGAAGCTTCATAAGTTCATACATACATATAATTGCATATATGTCTTATGTTCATTAATATGTGCATGTACATGTATATTGAATGTTTTGATCCCTTTAGAGGATCATATACATGTACCTTCATGTAGAAATTTTAAGGCATGTACATGTACCTTGTCTTTGGTAGGATCAGAAAAAGAATGCAATTCATTTTTTGTGCATATCAGGAAGCCATGCCATGATAATGAAATATACATTGTAGCATATCCATGAATGTTGCATTTCTTTCATTGGGCAACGCTGTACATGTATCCTTTTTATGGCTTTTTCTAATTTCAAAAAGTCTTTGGAAAAACCCTGGATTTACATGATTTTGACACTAGGAAAATGACCCATTGTGTGGGATTGCATTTTCTATGACAGTGGTTTAGGCAACTAGTTTGCATCTGTCTTCATATGTGATGTGTAGTTTAGTACTGATTTACATGTAGGTGTAAATTTTATTATTCTCTTTGTGTTGTTATGTAGTTACCACAGTCGATTCCAGAATCACTCATTTCTTTAGTGAAAGCTGCTGATGATCATCAGTTGAGTGAAGAAGATGAAGCTAGTTCTCCAGATGTTGTTAATGGTATGTTCAAAATCATTACTATGTGTACATCTACAATTGTACTGCATCTACATGTGTATATTGGTATACCTTATGCAGTTAATGATTTTTATGATAGAGATTCATTATGTGCAATTGTGCATGTATCTGAGTATTTAGACTGTTTAAGTTGCATGTATCCCTTCATTTTTACCCAATCCTTTGTATTCGTTAAAAAAACTTATGTCATTTATGAAACGGCCTCTTCCATGCACATGTACATGTATATACTGTAATTATGATTTAAATTATTTCATTAAAGTAAAAATTCAATTTTCATTGCATGTAACTGAATCAAAGGACTGAAAATCCTATTGCAAACAAATTCATTTGCATTATAAAGAACATGTACATGTATATGATAATAGTAGATAATTTGTACTTGGCTTTTTGTTGCTCCTAATTGTAAGTATACTAGTACATGAGACTTTACTGTAGTGCTCATGTATTTGCAGGAGATCATCTTTTTTTCTGTTTAACTGATGTCAAATTGCCCCCAGAACAGGCAGAAGGAGTGTGCTCTCAAGCACTACAAGTAAGTAAATGTAAAACTTAAAATTACTGGTACATGTATATTGAATTATCGATGATATTGTTTGCATAGGAAAAAATTTTTCACCTGATGGAAACAAAGCGCCAACTAGGATTTTCATCATATGATGTAATAGTTAAAGGAAAGAGCTTCAGAAATCCAAGGTTGGCTCTACAACTTGTTGGTATCCTTAATTTAGTGCCTTATTGTAATGACGTTATTTGGGTTTTAATGAGTTTTAATGAGCATAACTAACCCTGCATCTGACATGTAATGAAGTACATGTACTACAATGTGTGTTGTGTGTAATGGTGATTAAATTTTTAACTTTTCATTGTAGTATTTATGAAAAACTAATACAGATGTGTGACATT